AGTTTGAAGTCCTTGGGCGTTACATTACCGCACTTGATGTGGTACTTGAGATCACAAGTGTTGCACGTGAGCGTTCTGTGGTTTTGAGCGATGGTTCTTGAGCACTTGGGACAGCTTTGTTTGTTCGAAGTTGGTCCGGGATTTTTTAGCAATATCTCCACTAATAATTAAGCGAGATATTTGAAATGTTGAAGCCGAGTTGGGATATCGGCTCACTCTGGCTCTTAGATAGCCTTTTACCCTGTAAACTTTAGAATCATGGCGGCAGTTGTCCCACGCTGGGTCGAGAATGAAATATGCCGTTAGCGCTTCCACAGGTTGACCATGCATGCCGAACTTCAGATTAGGCGTTGTAGTGGAGCAAAACCCGTCCTCGAAACTTAATCTTCCAGCGCTGAGAATGATACCCAGGAGCAAAAGAGCAATAACGTGAGAGCTCCGGAAAACGTGGCTGTCCGCCATATTGGTTCGCACCGCGGTGTGTTAGCAACACTAATCCAACAGAAGTTTACGAGGTAATGAGGAAACTTGCTCCAAACAAGGCTTCTGGATGTGATGGGATCCCTCCACTAGAAGATAAAGAATCGATGGATGTCTTATGCTTCCCTCTTAGTACACTGATTAATCATGTTTTAACTTCAACTAAGATACCACAACAGTGGAAACTTGGCGAGGTCACTCCAATTCTCAAAAAAGACTGCAGCCTATTAAAAACTAACTATCGGCCGATAACGATTCTGCCAGCTATATCGAAGGTTTTCGAAAAAATTGTTCATTGCCGAATAAGCCCGTATTTTGAAGAAATCTATCACAAATATGTGTTTGCTTATAGGAAATATCACGGCTGCGACTCAGCACTTCTTAGTCTAACCGAACGATGGAAAAAAGAAATTGATAACAATAAATTGATCGGTCTGGTCTCCATGGACTTGTCCAAGGCTTTCGACACCTTACCTCATGAACTGATTGTTTTGAAATTGAAAGAATATGGAGCAGATGAAGCAACAACCTCCCTGATAAAAGATTATTTATCAAATCGATTCCAAAGAGTGAGACTGGTGGATACGCTTTCCAATTGGCAACCTATATGCAATGGTGTACCACAGGGATCCATCCTCGGCCCTTTATTATTCAACATCTTCATGAATGATCTTTCATATGTCATCAAGAAGTGCACTCTGTCCACTTACGCTGATGACACTCAAATCTTTTACGCCGACAATCAACTCTCCAAAGTTGAAGAAACAATCAACAATGATCTTATTAGTGCTGATATATGGTTTGCGCGTAATGGTATGAAGAGGAACAGTTCAAAATACCAGGCTATCGTGTTGGGAAAACAAAAAGGAACTGATGAACCAGTGTTTAAGTGTGAGGAGTCACAACTTCCCATATCCAACACAATGGAACTTCTTGGCGTGACAATCGATGATAAATTAAATTTTGAAAAGCACATTGCTAAAATATGTAGAAAAGTCAGTCAACAAGTCGCCGTATTAAAAAGGATGCAGAAAATGTTGTCTTTTGAGACTAGAAGGGATCTTTATAATGCTTTCATTTTACCACACTTTAATTACTGCTCCGAAACGTGGCACTTCTGTAATAAAAAGTCAGCTGACAAGTTAGAGTTGGTGAACAAACGTGCGCTCCGTTTTGTTTTTAGAGATAAGTCCTCTCCTTATGAGGAACTTTGTAAGCGTATCGGTCTCTCAAGTCTTCGTGAACAGCGATTAGCGAAAATATGTCCACTGTCTTTAAGATATTAGCCAGTGATGCAGGTCCAAAAAGCTTACGTGATCTTATAACAGTAAGGTGCTCCACTTATAACCTTAGGGGCACCACAATACTGGACCTCCCAAAAGTAAAATCAACAACCTTCGGGTTAAGATCATGGAGATATGCTGCATCGAAATTATGAAACGCTTTACCGGACGAGTCTCGAAAGATACAAACATTTACTACTTTTAAAAATTACTTAAAAACATTAGATCTCACAGGACTCTAGTGCGGTGAGGATCTATCCTTGATTATGTTTACTGTTTTTAATGATTACATTTTATACATTTTACTTGGTGACTACATTGTTAAATTCTTATATTTTAATATTAGCTAGTTCTTAATCTTAATTTATTTAAATTTATATACCTTCATAAGGCTTTATAATTTCCTTTTCTCTTTTTATTTCGTGGCGTACCTGTAAACAAGCTTTTAGCTAAGCGTTCTGACCACGTTAAATAAATTGATTGATTGATTGATTGGTATGTATACTATGAAATTAACTCCAACTTCTTCACATACTAAGGAAGAAGTTCTCACGATAAGCTTACATCAATTTTTCATCGACGTTTTCCCCAGTTTTGCCATCTTGGCTCCCTTTGATCCCTAATGAGGTCTTTCTAACAATTATTTTTATAAATCAATTCTGACTTTGTCAATTCTCATGAACAGTCACTAAATAAAATTTTAAAAAAGTGTTCATAGCGATTATTTCATTCTTGAGCTAACACCTTTCCGAGGCATCCCACAGACACTAACTCCTCTTGGTTTGCGAATCTCCGCTAATTAGACTCTCACCAGGTCCTGCAAAAAAAAATCCTGCAATTGTGAACGTACATGATGATTTCTGTAACAAGGCTAAATTTGGCATCATGAGAAACGGTAGGGCTTAGGTCCAAGAGATTTGGATGCAGACATAAGCGATCCAGTAGGCAGGAATGCCTTCACCCTAGACATGCCCTCAAGGAATCTGGTGACTAGGGACCCAGGAGTATTTTTTTTTTGTCGTAAGGAATTGAATGCTATGTTCGTGGGACATGCATGCTTACCTACACAAAGCAAGTTAAGAGAGTGCTTTCTCTTACGAGTCGTTAAATCAAAACCAAAGAAACCGAAACAGCCAATAAGAATGAAATAAAGATGGACATCCCAAGAAGTTCACGATGACTCAAACAAGGCGCAACACATGGTAAATTAAATAAGCGAGTGACCCAATTCGTCTTGGTTTAAGCTTCGAAAATAATTGACGGCGACGGAGGCTCAAATTTGCGGGACCAGGTACTTATCATGGATAAGGTAAGACAAAATCAATTTCTTTAAACACAAAAGTGAAAAATCACCCAGATGAATCAATCAGCGAACCAGGTACCATCTACATTGTAACCCATTGACACTTATCATAGAGAACACTAACTCACCCTTCCTCTGTTTGTGGTTGGCTCTCCGTAGTTTTGGCACATGCGCTCGAATCACTATTACGTTTCCAAAACGTAGGCCAACAGCAATACGAGGCTCACCAGGAGAACATCCTATACAGGTCGGGCGCTCTCCTATGTCCAAGACAGCTAGTGCTTCGCCGGACGTAACATTGAAAAGTCGTACGTTAGACTCGTATCTGTAGCAGACCATAGTCTCACCATCGTTGAGGAACTTGCTGTCTGCGATGTCGTAACAGTTTTCCAGAAATACCTGCTTCCTCATTCCAGTTTTCGCATTGAGAGCGTGCAATCCATAGCCATTATTCAGAGTATTCCATGTGACGACTACATCTCCCTGAGGAGAAAATACGCAGTGTGGATGTCTCCAGTTGCAACCGCCCTGGTAAATGTCGTCTTCTTTCCAAATGGGAACATTTGCCTCACCCCTGTAAAAAAACATTTCGCGCTTTCTTGCGTCATTTTCTGCACAGCACACCACATCTCTTTGAAGACTGCACGCAATCGATTTTAGTTCTGGTTTACCACTCAAGTTTCTTTCAAATACAACTTTCCACGCGGAGACATCAAACAAGGCGATTGTAAGTTCGTGTTGTCCTTCGGATGAAAATTTAGGCGTGTATAAAACGCATCCAACAAGATCTTGCGATACAGGAATTAGTCTTTCGATTTTTCCCATCATGGTAATAGAGTTAAAACCTTGAGACAAGTCACTGTTCCATACCTCTAATTTCTTGCTGTCTGTTTGCAAGAGAACACCTGTCTCACCATTGTATGTAACAATTACAGTCAGGACTCCATTCTTGACACGACGTGAACTGTGTTGGAAGGACTTTTCCTGCTTCACTTCCCTGGCATTGTTTGCGTCCCGCATAGTAAATGTCACCAAGCGTGACTCATCCGTTTCCATTTCTGCCGAATGGTTGCAAATGGCGATAGTTGTGTACAAGCGCGTGCTACCGTTGTCTGCAGAAAACGCAGTTTGTGCTGTCCGTGGCATCTCTACGTCTTGTAGGGGGCGAGTAATATCAAGCATCGTCAAGTAATTAACCGTTGGACTCCCGACCACTGCCAAATCTTTTAGTAACATGAGGCAAAATCCCATTATTAAGTCTGCAGAAACCAAATGGAATGTCTTGCAAACGACTTTCAATCTATCAACAGAATCAACCGATTCCCACGGCCACAAGACACAAGATGATTGTGACTGAAGCGCTGGCACCGAAATTTTGTACTTATCTCGGTGATCAGACAGCTCATGTTGGATACTACCACCGACAAGAACTCCCGCTTCTGTAAAATGTAACAGTCCACAGGGGTTACCTTCACCAAAAATGTTTGGAGGTGCTTTCTTCCAGCTGGGATTTTCAACAGCTTGTAACCAGAGTAAGCCACTTGTATTGCAGATCGCAACACGACTTCCATCTTGAGAAATAGCAAAAGAGGCTATGGTTTCTTCGCTCTCGAAGCGTTTGATCTCCTCACCATTCTTGGTGTTCCACATGACCACTTGATGGGCGTCTTCTGGACAATCAGTTAACATCCTAATTTTGTTACGTGAGAAATGGCAAACATTGAAATGACATTTGCTCCCTGGAAAGAGTGACTTCGGTTCTCCATCTAAGCTGTAAACTTTGGCCAAGTTTCCTGGCAAAATGGAACAACCGTCTGGATGGAAGACAGTGGAACGGTAAAACGACAGCGTCTTTTTCCCAGTCTCATTATCTTCGCACGTCTGTCTAAAAGTACTTCCAAGAGGAACTTCATTGTATGACTTTCTCGATTTTAATAAAGCTTTTTCCCACAGCCGCTTTCCAGTCTCAAGGGACCATAACGACGTCGTTCCATCACGACATTCGCTTACCAAGAGTTTTTCGTCTGGGGAAACATCAAAGCAAACCACTTTGTCAGAGCAAAAAAATCGACCAACAACAGGGCCTTGATGACCATTTTTGTCCAACAGCTCCATATATGGTATTTCTGGATGGGAACTCAAAAGAGTATCAGACACCTGTTGATAAAGCGCTGATCCTCCTTCATTGAGTAGGTTTTGGAAAATCATCTCAGGAGTATCTCGAAGCAACTTAGGGTTTCTCTTGAATTGTAGTAAAAGGCTTTCAATCGTATTGTGGATTTCTTCGCTTAATTCCCTTGAGTTAGGATGTTCTTGCACAAGAACAAGATCCTTAA